TGATGTAGAAACTTAAAGCCACCAGTGCACATCTACTGCAGAAAAAAACATATCAGACACACATAATGTTCCAAGCTGAATTTTTCCATACATATGAAGCAACCTTTTATACTTCTCATATGAATAATAAACTCACCAGGTGAGATGCTGGCAATCAAGTTATGCTAAGAACCTGGGGTTACAGGGATTGTAAATCTCTGACTCAAATGCGACAGAATGAGTAATAGTCAGTGAGTAAAAGTAAGTAGGACAGCCCAGTGGTGGAAAGTACTTTACTTCAGCACAGTACTGATGTACCTGTACTTTACTTGAGTGCTCATTTTTGTACCTTTACTTTATTTATCTGACACCTTACTGGTTAGTGGTTAAGATTTTACATTAAACACATATGATAACTTTCAAAATGCTACACATTGTTGAAGATTAAATCAGTGGCTTCCGCACTGTTTGCCTTGTAAACCCTTATATCAAAAGCAGTGTGTGGCTGCGTCTCCTTGTCATGTTTCAGATGTCTGTGAGTTGTTAGTAGTTAGTAGTTCCACCAAAGAGACATTTCACCTCTAAACTTCCCAAATGGTTTAAGTTAAATACTGTTTAACTCCAACCATTTAAGCATGAATTTTTTTTTTAATGAAGTATATTAGACTCACATGCAGCATTTCTCCAAACCTATTACTCTGTTTTCTTCCACTAAAGCAAATTATTACATTACCTGTCAAAACAGCTGACGTCCGATGAAAAAACTGATTACAATTAATTGATTATCAAAATGGTAGCCAATTAATTAATATAGTTTGGTAATGACATAAAGCCAGTTTAAAGAAAATGAATCAGTGGAACAAACTGGAATTATACCACCAATACTTAAAATACTGCACACATTAGTCATTAAGTTATTACTTCAACAGTTAATTTTTTAGTTGAATGAGTTCTTTTATTAAGATATGCTCTTTGGATTTACAGTGTACAGTTTCTTCTTCTTTATTCTTCCATTAATTGTCTCACAACCCCCCAGATCCATCTGGTGAAACCACGGGATAAACTAAACTAGAAAGGAGTAGAAACTGATTTGTGTGCAACAGTGAACCACTCATGGAAAATCAGCTCAATAGCTTTACTAGAGATCTAATGGTAACATACCATAGCAAAGACTGGACACACCCGACATAGCTAGAGCTGAATTTGACACATTGAATGTCTTTAATGGAAGAGATGGGTTATTGACATGGATAGATGGTTCTGATACTGGCAGCTTTAATGTGGTTCTGGGTCCCACATCTACTCTGTATAAACTGGTATTAACAGATAGTAAGCAAACAGGAAAGTAGGGCATCAGTCACACACTCCTAATCTTATTTACTTGCCTCCTTAATATTTTTTTGTCTTCATACAAAAGTCTTAAAATTAGAAAGCCAGCAGTTCAACATGGTAGGAATTCAAGTCTATACATAGTCTATGGCCATAAACTCTCAAACACTGGTCTGTAAAAGCCCTGACACACCATACCGACATCAAAGAACTAGTTGTGACACCTGTGTCGCACAAGCTATAGCAGACAACCGTGAGAGGTAATAACACCTCCATACCAGTAAGTAGCGGCAGTCTGCATTTGTCATTTAAAAAAGAAGACTGGAAGACCTAATACTGCAAATATAAACAAAAGCAGCCCTATGGATGTAGGTAGGTTTGACCGCTCTCACTCAGATGGCTGAAGTTGAAAAATTAGACGATTCTTCGTGCATGCCATCTTAATGAAGTCGTTTTCTGCTTTGTTCACTTTCGTTTCTCTTATCGTGCACTGATTCGCTTAAGCTGAACACCCAATCAGAGTGATTCCTCTCACTGATGGCTTCCGCCGTCGATTCAACATGCTCAGTTGGCGGGAAAAGCCACAGATGAAGGCTGACGAGTGCCAACAGTGCAGAACACACTGCAAAAAAACTAGGGCTACAGACGCTCACAGATGGCCCAACATTGGCCGACCGTTGGCCTGGAGTCTCATTGAATTTTCTCTCAAAGTCACTGTGCACAATAAATGTATAACAAAGGAGAAAAGCAAGGCAGCTGGACTCGTGAGATCACATGACAATCCAGCTTGCCAGGCTTCAAGTTATGCGCTTATGTTCAATCACAGTGCTAGTGGCATGAGCTACTACGCAAGGTTCAACTCTAGGTGTGTGTCGACGTGTGAGAAATTACGGTTTGCTTGAAAACAACAATGGCAGCTGCTTAAGAAGTTAGTGTAGATGCTGCTAGCATCAGTTATATCAGAACTGGAGAGTATTTCTTCAATGGCACTGAAGGCTTTTCAAAGTGGAAAAGATGTTTTCACTCTTCAGTAAGAGTTTTACTACGTTAGATGGTTTGTTAATCTAATTGGTTGAAGTTAACCCGTTTTGATTAAGAGTAGGCTTAAAGCACCAGTGTTCAGGATTCACAAGTATATTTAACTTTCATGATGGAAAACAAAATGTATGGAAAAAATCAAAGCCTCTTCTCTCTCTCTTTCTCTCTCTCTCTCTCTCTCTCTCTCTCTCTCTCTCTCTCTCTGTATCTGTCCCTCTCTCTCTTCCCCCAACTGGTCGAGGCAGACCACCACCCACCTAGACCCGAAGGATCTGTCTTAGGTTTCTGCCTCTTAAAAGGCAGGTTTTCCTTGCCCCCGTCGCCAAGTGCTTGCTCATGGTGGTACTGTTGGGTCTCTGTAATTAATGTTTTAAAGAGTTCGGTCTAGACCTGCTCTATTTGAAAAGTGTCCTGAGATAACTTCTGTTATGAATTGGCGCTATACAAATAAAATTTAATTAAATTGAAATTGAATTCTCTTTCCTAGAATAATGTCACTCTGGGTAATCCACTTAATATGATGACAACAAAGTTTATAGGTATTTTATAACTATTTCTTCAATAGGAAGTATAAAAACTGGTGACAGTGAGGTCTGTTGATTTTCTGAAGGCCTTACTTAAGAGTAGAAAAACAGAAAAAGTTTAATCCAGGTAAAAAACTGCTTTGGCCTAACCCCGCAACATTTTGTTGACGTTGCTTCATATGTGCCACACCTTGAACTTATTCTGACTGTTGAATCATCCACTAGAAAAGTGCTTTGTCAAGTGATCTTACCTTAAACACCCACTTTTATAGAAATCAAACCAAGCACATTTATTTTTTACAAATACACAATGTCATCATGATGTTTTTCTACATTAAAAATAGACAGTTTTCACTCTTCCCTGCATTCAGGCAGGGTGCTGTTAGATATGAATGCCTTGTATACTTCTACACACTCAAAGAAACACTGCCATGAGTGACATTACACACACAAACACAGAGCAGGCATAGGCTACAGTTAGTAAACCCACATATACAATGCCATCTTTCTTTTAACATAAAATATACACATATTGTCATCCCTGCAATCAGGGCACATGACTTTGATGATACACTGAGTATGAACATCACATGCGTGCTGCTGATTCTTACAAACATGAATAAAATTCACTGCATAACGTTTTACAAACAAAATGAGTAAGACCTACAAAACAGGCTGTTTTCACTTAAGACACATTTGTGGAAGCTATTCTGTCAAAATAGACTGACTGGGACAAGGGAAAGTTTATTTTATATAAATTTCCTGATCTGAAGTTAACAGCTTCGTGCTGCCAAGCTTCAATGGTGATGGCAAGAATAGCAGTATTTTAATTAAAGGGAATTAGAGATAAATCACCCTCATGCACAAATCACAAATCAATAGTAGCCCAAGTTTACGCACAATCAAATGTCAATGAAGATATAGAAAAACAGAAATGCATGGCAAAAATAGCATACTGTCAATATTGTAGAGACCCCCCAAAATTTCCCAAATCATGTTTTCAGGGGAGCTCATGTCTTATCAAGAGGAACAAGCCCCCCCGCTCCCTGTAGTTCACACCCTGTGTACAATTCCATGACACCTGGACAAAGTCCATCTGCTGATGAAGATTATGTGACTAGTACTGCTACAATATGAACATTGTGGTGAGAAATGTTTTCCAACATTAATGTTTATCCAGCATTTATATAGCCAAATAACTTTTATTTTTATTTATAGCATTCTGTATGCATATGGTTGAACAGACTATTACAATCAATTGAATTGTCAAATCTATGGTAGTGTCTCAGTTCAAATGGATAATGTTCAACCAAAACATAAAGATGTCAGAGAGGCAAAAGGAGACAAATTTACACCTTAAAATATAAATACCCACTGAAGGCTCCTATGATACATGCTTGGAAACAATGTTACAGTGTTGGGGGATGAGGTAACATTGAATGAGCTCTACGTCCTCCATTACTGTAAGTCTGTGCTTGTGAGTGTGTATGTGTGTGTATGAGACAGAGACGGAGAGACAACGAGAGGGAGAGAGAGAGAGAGAAAAAGGGGGAGAGAGAGATTAATAAGTATTTAGAGTGGAACAAGAAATAACTCAGTTTCGAGACCAACAAAGGCATGTATCCCCCAGCCTACATGTAACGCATATAAGAGGAAATGGCGTATATCCGCCATTGCTGCTTCTTCTCCCACCTAGTTCACGCACACACACACACACACACACACACATGCACGCAGGCAACGAATGACGTAGTGCTCATGCTGCGAAAACATTGTCAGCTTCTTCTGGACGTCTCGTAAAACAGAATATATTTCTACTTTAATGGAAGTTGTTTTAACTGTGTATTCTACGAAAAAAAATGTCCTTCATGGCACTAGTTTGGTATTTGACAAGCAATACATATTCATCCGCTTCTACATGAGTTTCAAGAGCACAGCAGTACCCGGATGGACTGTCATGGCCGCCGTCGCTGTGGTTCCATAGAGAGGAGAGAAGGAAGGCAAATGTTTGTGCTGTGTGTGTTTTCTACCTAAACCTCCTTTTCATAATGTCGGACGTTGACGGGACGCCGCCAGAACTTCCATCGAGTTCATAGTAAGAAATAACACATTTTCTGTAACTTTGAATATCTTCGCGTGGGTGGGGGCTTTATTTTGGTGTAAAATAACTGGTTATTAAACTCCACAGACACTAACAGTGTCGCGAAGCGGCTCACATATTTCCCACGTACTGAGGTATAAATTGCCACAGTGCAATAAAATACCACAGTGTAGTTAGTCTTTAGTCCTTTGTTGCTGTCTGTCCACAGCCTTAATTCTCCCACTAATGCAGCGTTCCCTCGCGTTTCCTAAACTTAAGCGACTATGGAGCAAGTCACTCGGAAAAAGTAAAAATGCACCGAACTCAAATGACGAATTGTAATGTTATGGCTGAGATTGGCATTTTCGCAACATGTTGTTCTTGTCCCTGTGTTGTGGTACTGAGGCTGAGTGGAACTGCAGTTCTCAGACGATGCAACTTTTTCCCTCATCTCCAAGCTTCATTTCTATCTATCCCATCTGGACGGTGTGGGCCCAGAGTACCTGTCTGCACTGCAGGTGACTAACGTCCTGCTCTGCTTTGTTACGCCACTAGCTTCATATATACACTTTTATTAGTGATAATAAAAGCTAAGTAGGCTTTTTGTGTAGTTGAATTTGATTTTCATAGTGTAATGTCCATCGTGTTTATTATTGGGTTGTGGATATAAATGGTGTAATTCAGCCTTAGTGCTTTTGTAAAGATAATGTTGGCAGAAATTAAGTTTTGCTAGACGGAAGTAGCCGGTGCAGATTAGTCATAAAATCATGGCAGCCATTTTTTCCCCCCCTAACATGGCTCCCTCGGATCCACAGGGTTGACAGCTGACAGAGACATATGGAGTTGTAGGCTGATGCAGGCTTGCTGCTGGTTTTACATGAATACTTTAAAAGTGTACTGTTGAATTGAGGGAGTGTAACCTGTTATCAACACTGTGTTTTAAGAGCTGGCCCTGTTGCACATTGCTTTAGTAACAGGGTCTTTAGATCTGTATGTATGGAGCACAGGAACTATCAGGAAGAACATGTCCCTGTGTTTATTCTCAGATAGATAGATAGATAGATACTTTATTTGTCCTGAGGGAAATTCAAGTTAGGCCTGTCATGATAACTGCAATATTCCTGTAATTTTAATACCATTTTATGCCACTGATATATTGCTCAGCTCTTTCAAAGAACAATTAACTGTTAATTATTAAGAATATTTAGATATTGGGGTTTTTTTGGAGACCAAATTGTTATTGAGTTTCTATTCATATGATTATGGAGGATATGTTACATATCATAGACAACAAATTGAAATATTCAGTATATATCAGTTCACTACGGTAGTCGATAGACTTCATACAGTCCTAATTAAACCACTCTTTATCCCCTCCCTCCCATCTCATCCATCCTTTTTGGAATTTGAAATAAATATGTGTCTCTGTAAAGCTTATTTGTGTTCATTCAGCTTAGGCACTGTGCCCAAGTCTTATATAGGGGAAGAATTTATATTTATTCTGGCATCATGTTGATTACAGTTTTGGGGGCTTTCTTATGTAAACAAACACACATGTAAAGACAATGGGCAATACTGAGGTCAGCAAGATAGCAGATAATTGCATATTGTAAATAGACCTATTGAACAATAAGTCGATAAAGTTATTATTGTGACAGGCCTTTTTTTCAGTTATCTCAATGCTACCTCCATTGCCCTGTCATTTCCTGCTCACTCATTTAGACAGGTGTAAAAGTGTGGCGCCCTGGTAGAGCTGGTGCCCCATGTACCAAGGCCGAGTGCTTGCTGCAGCGGCCACAGATTCGGGTCTGACCTGTGGCCCTTTGCTTTGTGTCATTCGCTTTCTGCTGTCTATCTTGAGCTGTCCTATCAATAACAAGGCAGAAAGTCTACCCCCAAAAAGTAAAAGTCTAGTTATTCTGAGTGGTTCAAAAACATCAAGACACTACATCATACTTAAATGACTGAAAATTGCCATTCAACCAATCTACCAACCAACTGATTAAAGAGCTCCTCCAGACATCTGTTAAATTCATACAAATAGTCCGCTTGGAACAAATGTCAACAAATCATGCTGGTAGGCCCCGCCCCTTTTAAAATCAGATTTTCACTGAGAGAACCACACAGCTGTGTATGTGAAGTCTGATAAATGTCCTCAAGCGATGAACATAGCTGCTGCTAGCAGATCACACCCCAATCTGTTGATGAAATTATTTTAGAATTTCAGTTTAAACGCCGCATCAGTTCCGTCATCTAGAGCTGCAACAATTTCTTATTTAATTGATTAGTTGTCAACTATGAAATTATATATACATACTGAAGGCACAATACTTAACACTTATAGAAAAAGGATTCGCCTTTGACAAGGCCTGCAAGTAAGTAGTAGGGATGACTGATATGTTTTTTTCGGCGCTGATATAGATACAGATTCGTAATCAAGGAAACCAACAACTGAACTCATTCACTTAAATACTGAGGTTGGGAATGAGACTCAACAATCAACTATCTTCAAGCCTCAACTGGTGAAACATTCTGATCACTCTTTTCCAAAGGTAAAGTTGACATCCTCTAATGTCTTGTCTTGTCCACAACCCAAAGACATTCAGTTTACTGTCAGAGAGGACTAAAGATTATCACAATAGTTGTCGCTTAATTTAATTAAATGAGACGTTGTTGCAGCTATAGTGAATGTGTCACTCGGTGTGGTTTCAACCGCAGTCCATGTGGCATAATGCCCAGCAGAGCAGTGTTTCCTGGGCTCTACTAAAAAGGGGAGAGGACAGATTTTCATGTTCATAAAATTGAACAATGTAAAACTGATAACATGTCGGTATTTATTGAGTTTCTCTGTGCTCATTGAACATCTGATTTTAAGGGGCGGGGCCTAGCACCATGATTTGTGACATCACGAATGGTTCAGAAGTCAGTCCTGGTCCACTATCAACTTGTACAGTGTGGTGTAGAAACCTGAAGCCACCAGTGCACATCCACTGAGAATGGACTTTACAGTGAAGTAGGAGACATCTTGTGTCCAGCAGGAAAACTTTAGAAATTAACAATATTTGCATATTCAGAGATTCTGGAGTTTTTAATGAGGTAGGAGGAGATGGCTTTTTAAGGAATTTAATGTGGAAATTATAAAAAATGTGGAAAAAACATATCAGACACACATTGTTTCAAGCAGACTATTTATATATGACTTAATACATGTCTGGAGGGCATAGAAAGTTAATTTTACAACTTGCAAACTGTAAGTTGGACTTTTCTGCTTGTGTCTTACAGGCACCGTGGCCACACCACGAGCTCCTCTGCTTCAGACACGACATACATTAATGTTTGAGTTTTCCCTAAAGGACTACAGGTAATAACTGCATTTTTAATGTATTTTCACAGTTTTTTTTTTCTTAACCCCAGCAGTGAATTTATAACTTCAGTGTGGGTCTTTGAAATCTGAAGACAGTTTTTAAAAGCAAGTGGGTTGTGTTTTGGGACTTATTTTTCTGCTTAGACACCAATTCTCTACCCTTAAAAAGAGATAAATGATTTTATTCAACAATTTTATGATTATTTTTATTAGTGTGACTACTTGGCACACTTTTAGTGGTACCTAACATGTATGATAGTAGGATCAGTCTTTCTGCAGACATCCTAAACACAATGGACAGTTTAGTTTGTGGCACAAAAAAATTATCTTTAACAGCCATATCCCTCTTCAGAAACAGTGTCCCTGTTACTCTGGATAATCCACAGAACACTTTATGCAACGTCTACTTTATAGTCAAGAAATCCCTGTGACAAATAAGAAAAAAACATTTCAATCCTTTGAGCCACAGATGCCAAACTCCATTCATCTCCATTGTGTTCTGGTAGAGATGATGGATTTCTCAAAGCCTGCATGACTTTTTTGTAATTTGGTCAAACTGATGCAAAATTACTATTTAGTTTAATCAACACCTCTGTGAGACTAAAATTGGGCATTAGAACCTTCATGAAGGGAGGATAAATTACACTACTGTTATATTAGACTGTTACTTTTAGCTAGGTGCACCTAATAAACTGAGTTGCGAGTTAAGTGGTGTGAAACTATGAAATTTCTAAGCTGAAATTATTGACATGATCTGAATGAAAGTTAAACTAGGAGGAATAGAAGTCCTGACATTGATGTGACAGTGTTTCCTCTATGTTGATCTTGGAGCGGCGGCCCGCCACTGTTAAATTTCTGCCACCACGGTATCAGAAATGGGGCAGACGCACAATGTAGTCACGGTTGCCTTTTAAATGATCCTGCCGACATAATGCACCCCCGCTGGCAGCCGCTCACATTGCAATTTAACAACAAGTAGAACTAGTCAGAGGTTATTGGGGCTGTCCAGTTTAACTCCACATACTGTTGTGTTGATGTAGGTTATTGTCAAAACGTTCGCTTTCTTCCAAGTTGACTATTAAACTAACAGCTCCACCAAAAACGTCACCGTAGTGGGTCCGTTTCAATTGGACAACGTTCAACTTGTCAGTTCTCAGCTCAACGTCCTGATATCAAACATCTGGAAACATTAAAACGGTAAATATATTTGTTTGTGTTACAGCAAAGTGTCTCTTCTGTTTCATACGTAAAATGTTTGCCGACGGGGGGGGGGTCTTGTTCGGACAGGCCTGCCCCCACTGCTAAAAAAAAATCCTAGAGGAAACACTGTGTGGCAGTTGGCTAGAGAGAAGAAGAGGTATCACTCTGTTGGTGTTTTGGCAACTACAGAAGCTCTGTCCACTTGCGAATGTACAGCAGTATGTAGAATGGAGCCTCTTCCCTCACAACCAATCTTTGGCCAAATGCAGACACTGGCTCCAAAAGAGCTTCATTTTGACCTCTTATCCATTTACTGTAGGATTCAACATTATGTGGTGACAGCTGATGACGTGGAACACATGACAGAGCTGTTGTACTCAATTGCATTAGACTGTTTAGGTGTAACTAAAGAGGCCAGCCTACACAGTCCTGAGCAGAGGTCTAATCAAAAACAGGGAAAACGCCTGTGTGGGTGGACCTTGGGTGTGTAGTATGTGACTTTTGTGTTCGAGAGTAATGCCTGGAAGTATACTAGATTAGCAAGAAGTATTTCTTCTTACTGTACATACTCATCCGTCCCATAATGCATTGCGTCTCTTCTGACTGGTCAATGGCAGTTTTAGTGTATATATATATATATATATATATACATACACACACACACACACACACACACACACACACACACACACACAGTGGGTACGGAAAGTATTCAGACCCCTTTAAATTTTTCATTTGTTTTTTTTCTTTGTTTCATTGCAGCCATTTGCTAAAATCAAAAAAGTTCATTTTATTTCTCATTAATGTACACTCAGCACCCCATCTTGACAGAAAAAAACAGAAATGTAGAAATTTTTGCAAATTTATTAAAAAAGAAAAACTGAATTATCACATGGTCATAAGTATTCAGACCCTTTGCTCAGTATTGAGTAGAAGCACCCTTTTGAGCTACTACAGCCATGAGTCTTCTTGGGAATGATGCAACAAGTTTTTCACACCTGGATTTGGGGATCCTCTGCCATTCTTCCTTGCAGATCCTCTCCAGTTCTGTCAGGTTGGATGGTGAACGTTGGTGGACAGCCATTTTCAGATCTCTCCAGAGATGCTCAATTGGGTTTAGGTCAGGGCTCTGGCTGGGCCAGTCAAGAATGGTCACAGAGTTGTTCCGAAGCCACTCCTTTGTTATTTTAGCTGTGTGCTTAGGGTTATTGTCTTGTTGGAAGGTGAACCTTCGGCCCAGTCTGAGGTCCTGAGCACTCTGGAAGAGGTTTTCTTCCAGGATATCTCTGTACTTGGCCGCATTCATCTTTCCTTCAATTGCAACCAGTCGTCCTGTCCCTGCAGCTGAAAAACATCCCCATAGCCTGATGCTGCCACCACCATGTTTCACTGTTGGGATTGTATTGGGCAGGTGATGAGCAGTGCCTGGTTTTCTCCACACATACCGCTTAGAATTAACGCCAAAAAGTTCAATCTTGGTCTCATCAGACCAGAGAATCTTATTTCTCATAGTCTGGGAGTCCTTCATGTGTTTTTTGGCAAACTCTATGCGGGCTTTCATATGTCTTGCACTGAGGAGAGGCTTCCGTCGGGCCACTCTGCCATAAAGCCCCGACTGGTGCAGGTTCTTCTTTACCTCTCTCACCAAGGCTCTTCTCCCACGATTGCTCAGTTTGGCTGGACGGCCAGGTCTAGGAAGAATTCTGGTCGTCCCAAACTTCTTCCATTTAAGGATTATGGAGGCCACTGTGCTCTTAGGAACCTTGAGTGCTTTTGTAACCTTGGCCAGATCTGTGCCTTGCCACAATTCTGTCTCTGAGCTCCTTGGGCAGTTCCTTCGACCTCATGATTCTCATTTGCTCTGACATGCACTGTGAGCTGTAAGGTCTTATATAGACAGGTGTGTGCCTTTCCTAATCAAGTCCAATCAGTTTAATTAAACACAGCTAGACTCCAATGAAGGAGCAGAACCATCTCAAGGAGGATCAGAAGAAATGGACAGCATGTGAGTTAAATATGAGTGTCACAGCAAAGGGTCTGAATACTTATGACCATGTGATATTTCAGTTTTTCTTTTTTAATAAATTTGCAAAAATTTCTACATTTCTGTTTTTTTCTGTCAAGATGGGGTGCTGAGTGTACATTAATGAGAAATAAAATGAACTTTTTTGATTTTAGCGAATGGCTGCAATGAAACAAAGAGTGAACATTTTAAAGGGGTCTGAATACTTTCCGTGCCCACTGTATATATATATACCCATTTCTATATGTTTTTTTCCAGATAAACAAAAAAACAGAAATCTTTTTTATCACAAACACAATATAATATTTTACTCTCACCAGCAGCTGAGCCAGTTTCTAGCCAAATAGTGGCGCAAAAGAGGAGGCGAATGAGATCAGGGTTGAAGGTCAGAGAGACAGCAACGCTAAACAGCTCAAGTGATGTATAAAATAGAGGCTTTAACCAGCAGGTGCATGTGCAGTCAACTTTTCTTTTCAGTTATATTAGTACACTGCATTGAAAAGCTTGAGTGTGCTAAGTTTATTTGTGTGTACGCAGAAAGAAGAGACTCACATTATTCTGATTGGTGTGATGTGTTTCTTCCAGTGTGATAGAGCATTCAGTGACCAGTGTCTCTTCCGTCTACACTGACAGCACTGGTATGCAGACTAGGTGATTCTGTTTTGACTAAATGACTCTCAATATAAACATTGTTTTTGTGACATACACATATAACATAATTTCCTCTAGGTTTGATGGTCATTGAGTGGGATTATTTGTTTTTTTTATGTTTTATAATGTATATCATTATATACTTTTATATTTACAATTCTAAAATTAGGAAAAGTTGCATGTGACTTCAGTTATAATTGGTGCACATGTGTAGATTTCCCTCTGCCTAGGACACGAAAATACAGTCTGGGAAAATTCTAGGACAGTAGAAAAATGTATCGTATTATTTTAATTGTTAGGTCTTCAAATTGGAAAAATATGATGTGGCACTGGTATGAGGTCTATGTCATACACACAAAATCAATCACAGAGAGATTTTGCAACTTTTATAGAACCTCTTAGCCAGTGGTTCCCAACCCATTTTTCTTAAGGGACCTCTTTTCTATCATTGAGTAAACTGACAACCCCTGACTAAGTGGCATACTTTGCTTTAATATTGTATTCAATACATAACAACAGTACAGAACCAACAGTACAATTAACCCAACACGTGAATGCAATAACTGCAGGAAAGTAAAACAAATGCTTTGGATGAATTTTAAGCAGATTTCTTTCCTGTGAGCATAAGTGATATGTTTTCCTCATTCATCATAATTTTTAGGAACTTTTTGTACAATTTTCAGTCTGTATTGTGTATTTTTAATTTTACTTTTTATAATCAGACAATCAATACTTCTTTTTTGGCAAAAGTTTTCTTCTTACTAATGCTTTGGCTGCGTACATTTCTAATGCAGGATGAGACTGTTAAGCAGAGAGTTCCAAATTTAGATCTTAATCTACACTTAAAAAATAACTTCATGTAAACTTCACAGAAAGATAGATAGATATAGAGCATTTCATTTATTTCTATCTTTCTATCTTTATTTATATATATATATATATATATATATGGCATATCTGCTGTTTTTGTCCTAATTTTTTAAATTTTTTATTTAATGATTTATTTCATAAATATATTCATTTCTATCTGCAGGTTTTACAACTATGGAAGAAGACCTCACAATACCTCACGATTCTGCCAAAACCCGCAACATATCAGTAACAGAGGATGAAAAAGAAAAGGTAAAAGACTTTGTGTATAAGCATTTCAGAGAAGTGACAGATGGGTCGCTCTTCAGTAATGGAGAAGAATCTTCCATTAAGGAACATGGGAGTTCCACCAAGAAAGAGAAACTCTCTCTCAATAAAGCCCATTGTAAAATTCAGCAGGGGGCTGTTTTCTCTGGAAAGATTCTGAGCTTTGAATGCTCAGTGTGTAAAGATGATTCCACATATAGCCCCAATGATCTCCTTAAACATTTTCGGGCGGCTCACAAAGGAACCCTTCCTACATACCCTTGTGACCTGTGTGGTTTTGTTACAAACGAGTTTCCTGCTCTTCAACGCCATCGGATTGAGCACAGGAATACTTTGGTTACATGTGAGCTCTGCAACGATGATGTTCAGTACTCTCTGCTTTTGCTTACCAGACATTACATCATGTGTCACAGTCTAAATGGACAGTTTAACTGTGATTGGTGTGAGTTTACAACTGTGGATGCAGGTACATTCGTCCAGCACATCCATCATCATAATGAGAGTCCTTGGAAGTGTTCAAAATGTAGACATATAAGCTCAAACGAAGAGGATCACCAGAGGCATGTGAAAGCTCATTCGGGTACATTCCCCTTCTCTTGTCAGATGTGTGGATATGGTGCAGCAAGAAGCGAGTACCTTAAAAAACACATGGCAGCTGTTCACAAAGAGGAAGCAGAGCGAAGGAATGTATGGAAAGCTATAGAAGACGGAGCTACTTCAGCAAATTCATCTGCAAGCTTAAAACTTTTGCTAAAAAAGAGCGGTGAATCACAGGAGGCTCAGAGGATATCAAAACTGAACTGCCTTTCTGGGAGTTTATCAAACCAAAACGGCAGGCTAATCAAACCAGAGATACCCTTAGAGGAGACCCACCACTTTTTGGATGGGACTATAGCAAATAAGGACAACAAAAACTGGAGCAAAGGCTCTCATTACACAGAGCAGTCAATGCCAGTAATGTTACAGGAATGTGACAACTCGACAAGTTCTGATCCTGCAAGTCACTCCAATCCTAATGGACTGACTGTTCTGATGGTTAAGAACAAAATCTCTCTTCCACCCAACTGTACAACCAAAGTGATGGGATTCAAGATGGTTGATGGCAAAAAACATTTAGTTCTCAAAGTAATACCAACAGCAAAGCAGGAATCATCCACTCAGAACCATTCCTCAGTTGAAGATGTAGGCTCCTCAGCACCACACCCTGTGTTGGACAACAGTAAAATTACTATTGAGAATGGGGAATGCTCTGATAACAAGAGCTCAACATCACATTGCTTTGCTGTTTCACCAAGAGGTGGCTCTTGCATACAAATAGATCAAGGCGATATTATGGCAGTAAAAGTAAAGATTGAGGAAGAAGAAACCTCTGTCTGCAACCTTGATTCCAGCCCACATAGAGATGATGTTGGGGAACAATCCAATTCTTTACTGAATAGGTCTTTGACGTGTGCAGATACATTATATCCTGTGACAAATGAGTTTCATGTAGGCGACCAAAGTCGCCCGATTCAAACAACCTGCTCAGAGAGAAGTAAGTTTGATAGTAACTCTGCAACATTTAATTCTGATGCAACCAGCCATAGCGGTTCTAAAAGTAATACTTTGACAGGTTTATCTTCACCTTCAAAAGTTGCTCAGGAAACTATGCTTTGCAAACAAGTCTCCAAAAAAACTGTTGAAAACTGTGGGGCTGTAGATGAGTTATCAGTGACTGATACAGTTGCAGATAAACTCATTGATGAACACAAATGGATTTCTTCCTTTAACACAATAGCAAAAAATGACCAGTCCTCTCAGAGTACACCAGAAAAGGAGAACCCTATTAGGGTTAGAACTGAGATTAAACATAGAAATGGCCAACAAAATTTTAAAAAGCTTTTGACATATCCATCAGAGTCATGCCCACCCACTTCAGGTAGCTGCAGAGAGAGTGCCACAGGCTCAGAAAACTGCACACAAAATTCACCAAACCAGGAAGTATTTACTTTTCACAATTACTCCAAGGAAACATTCAGCACTTCACCCAACACTACCCAAAACTTTGACAATATGTACGAACATTCAGCAGACAAAGAAAGTATTTGCGAATCATCACAGTTTAGCTTGACATTGGCAGAGTCTCCCGATACATTCACAGAAAGTGGCAGTGGTGAAGAGTCAGCTCAAGAAAAGAATTGGGAGGACATGAACAAAGTGACAGATAACAATATTGAGGTTAATGAGTGCATAGTTGGCGATCCTCTCACTGAGGATGAAAATCCAGAGTCAGTGCTCCAAGACTTTAATATTATCAAAATTGAGGAGGAGAGCATTCCTATATCCAAAAAACAGTCCGAAACAAAGAGTAGTTCAACTTCCTTGGGTACTTTTGTGGAAGAACACTCGGATGCAATCATTACCCAACAACTTTATAAGGAAAAAGTAGGGTCTTCAAGTGGAAGCAATGATTCTTTGAAACAAACAAAAACAACTCTACGAATTCTTCAATTGCCAGAGGGTAAGCAGCCAGTACTCCTGAGGACGACTGAGAATCGATTTGCCATGCCAGTGCAAGTCAAGACCACTCCAGGTTTCAAACTGATAACCAATTCTGCAAACCCTCAGATCAATGTATCTTACATGAAGCCAGGGTTAGAAAAATCAACTAACCCTGCTGGCGTAACTCTTTCTCCAAACAGCAGGAGGATAGGTGTATCAGCACCTAAGGCAGGAGCTGCTGAAAAAGGGGCAACACTTCTCTCTGCGGTTCAACCAGGTGTTGGCACCACCTCAAATCACTACTTCATCAACAGTCCAGGTTTTAAGGGTCCTGTACTCCTGTCAAGCACACCACATAATACAGCTACAGACAAAACCGCAAAGACACAGCAAACTTGCTACTTAGTACAGAGGTCTGTTCCATTTGTTCAGACCCCGAGTACTCCTGGCCTCAGACTGGCAAGTTCACAACCCTTACTTAACTCACGGCCAGTTCTGGCCATGCCTGTGAACTCTGCAGACAAACCCAGCACTCTGCAGACCGGTCGGCAGGCATTCTTGCTCCGTTACATTTCTCCATCCAAATCCGGCCTACTGTTGAACAACCAAGACGCAAAGACTGGGGCTCAGAGTAGCCAAACCAGTGAAAGTACTGGAAATAAAGTTATATTTAAAATTGTCACTCCTAGCGGTAGCCTTCTTACAAGTGGCGCTCCCACCTCAAGCAGTCAACCTTTGTTTTTGGCCACCAGACCTCAGACCCAGTGTTTTCTGGTGTCATCAAACAAAACTAATACAAATGCCTCCAATGGAGTAAAGAAATTGATTACCATACAAAATACTACACAGAAAGATGTCAAGGAATCTTGCATTTCACCTTCTCAGATGAATGTAAAGTTACCAGGTGAAGCAGAGAAACCTATCCTAGCCCCAAGGCCAATTCGGCCTCCAAGCCAAAGGAAAAGGCGCAGGAAAGCATTATTTGACGAGCTTCCAGCAACGGTGCATAAAGCTAGAAGGCTCTCAAATAAAGTACTGACTGAGAAAGAGACTACTGTGTTATGGAAGCCTGTAGCCAAAGAAGTTGAAAGGAAACTGAGACTTGCTCCATTCAGTTCCCTACAGCAGGTCAAATGCCCTCGTAGATACCAACCTGTTGTGGTGCTCAATCATCCAGATGCTGACATTCCTGAAGTGGCCAATATTATGAAGGCTGTAAACAGGCATAAAGGTGCTGTTACTAAGGTCTCTCTGTCTCAGAAAACAGTTCAAGCACTCTCTGAGCTTGGTGCTCTAGGAGAGAATTCTTCGACCAAAGGTGCGTCGTCTCAAAGCGATGATCAAAGACCTCGGCCAGTTCGGAGTTCTGTCCGAGAGCGTTTCCTCCTGAAAATGAAGTTGAGGAAAAAAAGCAAAAAAAAGTACGAAGTAGTGGATACTTTATCAAGTTGTGGACAAGAGCCTGTGGTGTTTGACTGCTGGTTTTGTGGTCGGCTCTTCAACAGCCAAGAAGACTGGATTGGCCACGGCCAGCGACACCTCATGGAGGCAACTAGAGACTGGAATAAACTGTTCTGAGAGTTTTCCATTACCTTTTTTAATGGGTTGGTATTCTGTCCTTTTGAGGTGGAACAAATTGTTGAAGTTGTATATTTTTTAATAACCTTCCACGACACGTTTGTTAAATTTCTGTTCCTGTACATAGATATTCTTAAGTGAATCATAGTTTATCTTTTCATAGGTGCATATTCTTGTAAATTATGTACTGCAAGCGTGATTTTCTATCATGCACGCACAGGTCAAATTGAACTGTGAAAATGGTACACTGTAATTAGGAGTTGTTGTAAGAGGACAAGCTTAAAGAAAGGGGACAATGTCAGCAAAGGTTGTATGCAGAGTTGGTTTAAATTACTCAGGTGATTTCATATTAATCTGGTTTGTTATTTTTGCTCATAAATTTCAAAAACATAGTTCAAGGGACTTTTGTATCTTTTATTATCCTGCACATGAGGACAGGAAACTGTATTTGTATAGCTTAACAAAAGCTTGTAGACACATTTTATTGCGCTTGTGATGAAAAATGTTCTGGTCCAAATTATTCCTTTTTGTATGTTTAAATTGAACAGGATATCATTTTACACTATTCTATTGTCAAGATTAGTTTACAGTTTCCTCGTCAGGATTTTGTCAACCTGTAGCATGTATTTGTTATAACTAGTGCAAAGATTTTTCACGGTAATCTATTAAATAGACAGACAGTTTTCTAAAATACAAAAAAAGAAAAGAGAAATCCTGTACCTCTTATACAAGGATGTTGTCCTGGCACTTTGTCAGCACTTGAGAAATACAGATCAGCCTGTTTTACCCCCTATGCAGTATCGATGCAACAATATTTTTCAGCTCCGGCTGTTTGCTTGTGTTGTGAATCCACATTTCTAAATTTTCTGCTAAATCTTTAAGGTCCCATTAATTTGATTTCAGATTGTTATTTTATGTTGGCTATTCATTCATTAAAAACATCAACATCAAGAGACTTAATATGAAAATGAGTCAGAATCTTGTCACTGGGCTTGACTGTAAGATTTGGCATCCACTTCCACAACCTTTAGATGCCAGATTTGAGAAAATGGCTGCATTCTTTTGATCACTGATAATTGGAATTGTAAAGATTGAGTGAGTAAACATACCCTGTATGTCAATAATGAGTGAGATCATCAATAGTTAAATTAGGGCTGCAACTAACAATTACCACTATCAATAAATCTGCTGATTAACCCTTCAACTAATAATTAACTAATTAAGTGTCAGAAATGGGTATGGGTAAGTCACTATTTTCTAAAGACCAAGGTGATGTCATTACATTTCTTTGTTTTCTGACAGTCCGACACCAAAGATATTCAGTGTATTATCACTTCATGCAAATCAGCACAATTTAGAAGCTGGAATAAGGCAAAGTTTTTGCTTGAAAAATTACTTCAACAATTAATCAATTATCAAATATTGGCAGATTATTTTTCAGTCTATTGATTAATAGAATAATTGACCTTATTGTTTCAGCCCTAGGTTAAATGTATTACTGTAAATTCTCAAATAAAAGCAGGTATGAAAATATTGGCCAAAGCTCAAATAATGATATAACATTTCCAATTGCTTTTACTTTGCCTTTTTGATGTCACCATCAATGAATAGCAAATAATGGCGAACCCTTTGTTACTCTGCCACCCACACTTCAGCCACCTGGACCACTACCACAGCACTTAGGGCCGTGGGAAACTTTGTTTTTGCCCCTTGAATCTGTGTTACTGCTGCTGGTGCTGATTAGAATAAGGACAAATGTAGTTGTTATGAGGGGACGGGAGGGGTTGGCTGGATCATAAATCCCAAGTACACAATGCAACGGAGAAATTTTTTTTTCAACTGCACAGGAATAGATTACGGTTTATATAAAAAAAATGTGACTACATTTTAGAATAATAGAACAAAGTGCACCCAGGGACCCCCAATATGAAAAATTTTCATTCCTTTTTACAATGGTTTGTGGTTCAGTAAAAGTTTTACTTTGAAATACTTTAAGAAGTGATTAAACAGTTACTGTCACTTTGGTTTTTCATGCTCTAGACATTGTAAGTGTAGTAGGAGCTCTGTTTAGACTCTGCATTAACTTTGACCTTTTATTGCATTAATGTACTGTAAATCTGCTCACTGAGTTCAGTATGCTCTACATTCATTTCTTTTGATGTTACATTTTGCATAATTTTTTATGGCAACAAGACATGGACTTTATCTTCTTCATGGGTTTTAATGATTGTATTACAGGATGATCGAATCGTGGAATGAATGTTTTATTCCGTTCAATATGCAAAAGTGACAAAACAATGCAAGCCATGCTAATGTTTTTAGTTTGTTTTTCCTTTCAAAATGGTTCTAATCAGCCAGCCTCCAACTGCTGAAGTTCTGACCTCAGCAGGGTCCGCTTTTCACCAGCATTTGCTAAGTTGACCACTCCAATCAGCAACAGGGCATTTTATTTATATTAGTTAATTCCCTGACATCATATCCTGTAAAACTATAAATGTAGCATGAGTAGTAGCTACATTCCACTGATTATTAGGATTTAAAAATGAAACCGAACATACATTTGACTTTCACTTGGTTCACAGGGTGTTTTCACAAACTTTTCTTGAAGGAATCCCTTTTTTGAAAAATGTTTGTACTGTTGAGAGTGAGATGAGAAGATTGATATCAATCTTTTGTGTGTGTTGAGTACAGAGGTGGAGTCAGGAGGTGTTTGGCCTGACTTAGCATAAAGACTGAAAGTAGAAGGAAATGGCTAGCAGGCTCTGTCCATAGTTTAAAAATACACATACCAGGATCTCTAAAGTACAACGGATAAAGTCATAATATTACGAGAATAAGGTCATAATATTTGGTCTACGAGAATAAAGTCGTAACATTACGAGAATAAAGTCGTAACATTACGAGAATAAAGTCGTAACATTACGAGAATAAAGTCGTAACATTACGAGAATAAAGTCGTAACATTACGAGAATAAAGTCATAACATTACGAGAATAAAGTAGTAATTTCATGAGAACTGTCAGCCTGTTGGCTCAGCCAGCGAAACTGTTTAACGACGATATCAATCCGTTAGGTTACCTGTTGACTGTACGGTACGACTGAGCCAAACAGCGGCTGCTGGGCTCAGGCTGAGGCTGCTGTTCGGTTGAGCTGGTCAAGTCAGATCTTGATAACTCTATCGAAGCTTTTTTCTCATTAAAACAACTTTTTTTCTTGTATTATTATTATTATTATTATTATTATTATTATTATTACATTCTCGTATTATTACGACTTTATACTCGTAGACCTAATATTATGACTTTATTCTCGTTATTTTCCCAAAAAATTTAATATTTTTTTTCTCTTAGTCTGGCTCTATTACACCGTCGTACTAAAGGCCTTTACACCGTTTTTTCCTCGTGTGATTAACTCGTACTTGTCAAACTTCTACATTCTGCGGAAAAGATGTCGCATCGTAACTCATTGTGGACCTGTTGATTGTTTCTCATCACCCTGTATTATATGACAAAGGTGTGACAACAGTAAGTTGGGATGCTATGTGGTGAGTAGTTTCAATGTGACGTATTCACAGATGAGTATTTTGCCTTTTCATGTTGTTTATATGCCACGTCCCCCATGTGCAAAGGCCTTTTAAGCTCACTAATTAGGTGAGTTGGAACTTTTTTGTGACAAACAACAGTTCCAGTATCCATCCGTCCAGTACTTCTATGCAGTGTTTCGGCTCCAGCGTGGGTTGCCAGATATGCTTAGTTTGCGCAGGTTTTGGTATAACACTCTCTACAGGCACAATGTCACCAAACCTGTCAATCTCCCTTAAATACAAGACTTCTGGAAGCTGCAGGACTGAAGTTTGTCAAGAAATAGTTCCAGCACCAAAACTCCCCCTAAAACCACAAATCAGCATTTCTATTTGTTTAAGATAAAAAAGTGAGTTAATTGCTGAGCTTGGACCTTTGGACATACTTTTAGCCAGATGAGCTATCTACCCTTGCTTCCAGTCTTTATGCTAAGCTAGGCCAACCAATGTGACTCCAGCTCTGTATTTAATGCACATTAGATTGATATTGATCTTCTCATGTCATTCTCTGAAAGAAAGAGAATAAGCTTATTTTACAATCATGACTTTAACTCAGCCTGCAAAATGTTTAACACAGTGTATACAGTGTTTAAAGGATTTAAGTTAATCTCCTGTCCTAGAATATTCATGTGATTTTACTATTCCACTCTTCAAACTGTGGTTTCTGGAACCAATTTCTTTAAATCAAGGGCTACATTTAAAATACTGCTTACATATGCAGTACTTTCATGTAAAATAACAGGATATAAAGAAACTTAAGATTTAACTAATTAAACCTTAAGATATTAAGATATTAACTTTTTGATGATTGGTTTTTACTTGTTTAAACTGAACTCAGCTCATGTCTGCATTATATGGATGCCAATTAACTCTTATTTCAGTTAGTTTCAGAGGTTTGTTTCTGACTGATCACAAAGTTTCATTTACATAATGGCGATGCACAGTGTGAAAAAACGTTTTTGTTGTTTCCTCTCGTCACTGCTCTCAGGCCAAAGAACGATTTGGTTTTATCATAAAATTTTAAAAAGGAGTATTGCTGATGGGATTTCTAACTGTATAAGTCCTGCACTGTGATAATTACAAACCACTCATTATATGGGGATACACTACTAGATGAGCTCATTTTGAATTTTTTATGAGCCTCAAATTAAAAGTGAACAATCATTGAAATCCAGCTTCTACAGCTCAGCCCTGTCAGCTTTTAGGATGATAATTCTCTACCACACACTAGATTGTGTCATCATGTACAGTCAACTGTTCAAATTGTTACTGAATCTTTCCTCATGCTAAGTGCCTCAAATGTGCTTTGGCAGGTTGACAATGTGTACTGTATTCTTTTGTTCAACGTAGTGGTGTACTCTCCTCTAATAAATGTACATACCTTATGGAAACAATGGTGTTTTTTGTTGTAATGATCACAAATGATGCCACACCTATTAGTGATTTATTCATATTTATATGCTTTATATAGCACATGATGATGCTGAAAAGATCCACAGGGGGGCAGCACAAGACAAAATGTTACACTGACATGTTACCCACTTGAAATTTATTCAGTTATTTTTTTTCTTTAGGGGCTGGCTCCACATGTAATTCTCTTATTTAGGTGATGACATTTCGGCCCTCCAGCCTTCTTCAAAATACCATGTCCCAAATCCATATAACATACATCATTGTGAACTGTATTAACTGAATTATTTTGACATATACTGATTGATATGATATGTATCACAAATAGTGGGAATGATCATTTTTGCATTACAATTTTCATTTTCATTGAAAAAATCATGATGTGACATTTGTCGATGGAACCAAACAAACATTTTCTTCAATCTGGACAACAAGATTTGTAGCCCAGGGTATCTTTGCAGAGCTAAAGTACTTCATTATAATGCTGTTTGTCACACACACCTTTTATCACAAAATTGCTCCTGAGGTTTGGATATTGCACATGGCCATATGGAGAAGTGTCTCGGGTTCCTTACAGGTAGGTGGTCAGCTATGGGACACACCTTGTTAGCAATACATAGATTATTTCCTGTATTTTTGGTAATTTTAATCCATCTTCAAGTGTTTCTATGACTGGACTAGTGTCTAAATTTCCAGGTTTTCCAGGATGCATGGGAGCCCTGCATTGTGCATTTCACTGTGGGAGAATGGTTTACATCAACATCACGTATTTATGCTGCATAATTTCTGCAGACTACTGTAAAAATGAATACGTTTTTAAAGATTAAAAAATGGCAACAGTTTCCACTAATTTAATTAATTCGAAACATTTCTATTTTTAAATTGTAGATGAATTCAAATTGAGTGAATGTATTCACTACATTTAGGTACGGGTGAATTAAAGTGCTAATGCAACTGAATCACTTCAGCTTACTTACGTATATTGAGTAAAACCACTTAATTTATTTTTAAATTTCTATATTCTTTATTTTTAAGTTTATTTTATCATTATATTTACATATATAATTCAATTTAAAGGAATGGATAGCAGAAGAAACATTTTCAATTTACTAAATTATGGCAATAGTATGCATTACTTTTTACTTAAATTAACTTGATTTTGTTCTAAAAATATATAGTATGAAATTGGGACACAACCAAGTTTATTGTAAATGCAGTGTATCATAGACCATCTGGCAACTCAGTGTATAGAATTGGTCTTTATATAGTAGACTGAAACAACCAATCAAATAAAGAGTCCTGTACACTCCTGTGACAATTACATCATCAATGATTGATTAAAAAGACTTGTCAGAACTATAGCTGGAGATAGAAAGAGAGGTTGGGCTTTGCAAACAAACATTGTGTAACATTAGACTATTTACTTGAAATATTGTCCTGATATGTTGTGTAATATTAATAATAATCATGATTGAGTAAACAGTTGTTGAGTGTAACTACTTTTACTTCAGTTGAGTCTTTCCTGTGTTCATCTTTTAACAGCATATTTTCTAGCTTTATCTTAACTAACCTTAAAATCCCCTTTTTACCTAAGTCTATTGTTACTTGTTCCTATCATCTGCATAATATAGATAACACAATGTTCTGTACATACAAACCATATAAACTACAATGTATTCAGATATCACTTATACAGTAAAAAACTGCACTTGACTAGAAATTGCCCATGAAGGGTAGAACATCAATAAATCACTAAATCACTAAACTATCCATCAGTTGACCTATCGATCAATCAACTAATAATTAGTTGATTGATACTAAAATGTTTCAGTGTAATCAATTTCAAGTTAACGTTTAATAACAGTAATGAATAAAGAAAGTAATAACAAACACAGAATACTAGCAGCAGTGATGTGTATGGAACCTGGCTTTTGTGTGGTAAATGCTCTCACTGGAGATTATCCTGCATCATACACTGGTTTTGATATGTTAACTAATATAATATCTAATAATATCATTCTATATGGTTATACTATACATTGCTTCTGAAATTAATAAAAGTGGATTCAAATAAACAAACAATGAATAATTCATAAATCAAATCAATGTAAATTAATATTATTTTGACATCAGTTAAATATGTTGTATTCTAAATATCTAAGTAAAGGATAAGTGTAAATATAATGTATATTAATAGGAAAGGGATTTTATGTATAAAGAAATTTCAGAAGACATGTCCAGAGGGAAGGCAGTGCAGCAGAAAGATCGGACATTTGTGCAGTACATTTGTAATAATTAGGTATAAATATAGTGACGTGAAACTACATGAAAAGAGCTTAAATTTCTAACTATGTGTATACAGCGTGTCATGTAGGTAGACGCAGGCAATAGGCCAATACAGCAGGAAGACAGCCAGGTCTGCAGGCTTCTGTAGGGCTTCAAAATAGGTCATGTTCACATCAGGGGTGTCTGCATAATTTTTCTGACTTCTCTGCTGCTGAAGTGGTTCAGGCCAGTGGCCCGTGGCTGTGGAGGAGAGCACTGTGTGGGGGGGATGGGATGGATGGATAGAGGAGACCTCTACATGAAGCCTTATTATCCTCAGAGAGACAAACACAGGACAACTGATTTATTTATCAGTCACATTGATGGAATTAGTGTGATATATGAAACATTTAAGTGTGTAAATGTTTGGTCACAATGTGTCACTGGGTGAATGTAACTGTGACTGAGTCAGTGCGAAAGCTCTGGTTGTCGTGCAGCACGAACACATGGATTCACAGCTGACTGTACTTATTTAATGTATGTGTTACTGTTGTCAAAATGAGATCATGGCATTGGTAGTTGAGAAATAGAGAAAAGATTTGTTGTTGGGTCTATAGGGGACTTAAGACTGAACCTTGCAGTGACACCAGCCATTTACAGGCCACAACACAGTGCTATAGTACGTACGTTACGTCTGGTTTCGGACTTGAGAATTTTTTTCTTTTGTCTCAGACTGGTCTTGGACTCGTTGGTATTTTCACTCGGACTGAAGTAACTTCCTCCTTCAAAACAAAACCATTGATGATGCGCACTTGTTCCGATTACAAGTATTGGTTTAATTCAAAATCCATCCAACATTGGCTGCCTGGTATCCATGGTTACCAGGCAACCAATCAAGGTCACTTGCAATCGTATGCCCGGCTTCCAAAACTCATCTCATTGGCAATGGCTAAAGCATTTTTTTCTGACTGGGCCTTGACTTGGTCTCAATTAGTCCTGATTAGGGATAGGCTGAGTACCATTTACTGAGTATCGGGTACAGATAATGTACTTTTTAAAGTAAGTAGTAAGCAAAATGTGCCAATATCTGTACTTGTAAGTACCGGTATAGCAGCGTCAACCTATATCAATTTCAGGGTTAAATTAACACAATTAACCCTCCCCCCCAAAAAAAACCCCAAAACAAAACAAATTAAAGCTGCAAGCAGCGTTGGGCGGGACCTCGCACTCCACGCAACTCGGGTCGTGTTGCGGCCATGTCACGTGCCGTCGCAACACGTGCGGACCACGACATGAAAATCTCACATTAATCAGCTCAAAATCGCCATGCAGCGCTTACTTCCTGTTGCCAGTAGGTGGCACTATCTCTATGTCTGAATATTGTCACGTAGACATGTTCAGGGCGGGGCTCTTATCAAACACATGAAGTTTCATTGAGATTGGACCACATACGCTGAAGTTAGGACGTGTTCAGGGCGAGACTGTTATAGAATATATGAAGTTTATTGGAGATTGGGCATTGCACACTTAAGTTATGAGTACTGTTTTATGGTGAATTGGCTGAATTTGACAAGTCGTCACTGGCACATGGTTTGATGTACATTCACAAATAGCTCAACTTTTCATCTGGTTTGTATGACCACAGAATTCAAAATGGCCAACTTTTACGGCACGCCACAGACACGCCCTTCAACGTACAGTCACAAATAGCACAACTTTTAATCAGAACCATTTTTTGACTGTACTGACCAATTTTGAAGTAGATCCGATAAATTCCCTAGGAGGAGTTCGTTCAAATACAAGACAAAAAATTCACCGAATTGAGCACGGAATTCAAAATGGCCAACTTTGACGGCACGCCATAGACACGCCCTTCAAAGTACAGTCACAAATAGCAGAACTTTTAATCAACAACATATGTTGACTGTACTGACAAATTTTGAAGCAGATCTGATAAATTCTCTAGGAGGAGTTGGTTCAATTACAACACGAAAAATCACAGAAAATGACAAAAAAAAGTCAAAATGGCTGACTTTGATGCCATGCCACGGACACGCCCTTTAACGTACATGCCCAAATAGCACAACTTTTAATCAGCAACATTTTCTATCTCTACTGACCAATTTTGAAGTAGAGCCGATGAATTCCCTAGGAGGAGTTCGTTCAAATACAACGCAAAAAAACGCCGAAAATGGCTTCCAAATCCAACGTGGCCAAATTTGACAGCACGCCAAGGACACACCGTTCAACGTACAGTCACAAATAGCACAACTTTTAATCAGCACCATTTTTTGACTGTACGGACCGATTTTGAAGTATATCCGATACATTTCCTAGGAGGAGTTCCTTCAAGTACAAGGCGCTGTTCGCCGAAAGTGAAAATCAAAATGGCCGACTTCCCGTGGGGTTTGGGGTATGGGTCCAAGAGGCTTTTTTGTACGTCTTGGCACCTTACACGTGCCTACCGAGTTTCGTACATATCGGTGAAACGTGGCGCCAGGGATTTTTTTTTTTATCCTGTAGGGGGCGCTACAAACACGATTTTTGGTATGTGAGCTTCAGGCTCCAGTCTACACGTGCCCTGTGAATTTCATATTCATAACTATTACGGTTGGATGATTTACACTGCCACCAGAGCGCCACCCAGTGGTGTGTTTTTTTTCTCCTTTTTAAGTGAGCCTCAGGGAGCCATGGGCAAGCATCGTACCAAGTTTCATTT